GGGGATGATGGTGTTCCGAAGAAGCAGAAGGTTGGTGATGAGGGAGCGAAGATGCGGAGAGTCTGTGGAGAAGAGAGGTTGGACAAGGTGAAGGAAGGAGGAGAGAATGGGTCGGACCGGGTGAAAGTGGACCAAAGGAGTTTGGGTCTTCGGTGGAGATGTTCGATTACTTCTACAAAGCTCTGCACTTCTGGCCTCCCAGTCTGAACGTTAACAAGGTAGGGACAACTTTCTTTAACTTTACTCCCTATTTTCACTTTGTGTTTGTGTTGTCTGGTGTGTTTGATTGCATAGAAATTAATTGGAAAAAGAATGAGAAGTTAGATCAATCTAATGCAAAAGAGCCCGAACAATCTGAAGTTTTAATTTTAATCAAGTTAATGTGCAAATCTAAACTTAAACGAAAGAAAGACGAAATTTTGATAAAAGATGAAATTTTGATGTCCTGATGAGGTAGAAGTTTATTTGTTTGATTGATTTAAATTTTCTAATGAGAGTAGAACAGAGAACAGACTTAAATTTGTATCCCTATGCCAACAATCCTTTGCGATTAGTAATGTCTAGTATTGTTCAAGGAGCTTGATGCCTTTTTGCACCATCTTTATTCAGTATATACTTATATTGCCAATGGTTGATCTTAACTTTGTTTCCAATCCTTCTCTGTTCTAGTGGTTCTGCTATGGCACATTTAGCAGTGTGAGGTGCTTCTGAGGAACTAGAATTATTTGTTGACAACAATATTTTACAATATACTCTTTGGGTTTCTATTTGTTGGAAGATTGAGTAGAATCTAGTTTCTTTCAAATAGTTTGAAGAAAGATTTATTTTGAACATTACTAATTATTGGAGTTAGTGACTTGGTTGATACATATCAAAGTTTAGTTGAAGCAATAGGAACCCAAAGTTGGCACTGTAATTTCCATAGTTGGTTTTCACGATGGCTAGATTTTGGTGGTTTGTGGTTGAGCTTTAAATTTTGTAAAGTTGCATGTACTTAATTAGCATCAAATGAAGGGAGGGGAGAATGACTTGATGGATGGTCCTTAATCTGAAATGAGGCTCTCTTGAATGAGAGAGTCATGACTTAAGGTGGCTATGGGAAACAAATGAATTAACAGTCTCTGTAATTTTAGGGAATTGGACAGCCCATGATTTTTCAGGGTTTGCATAGTTATAATATTGTTGAGAATATTTTGATATTGAATATGAAAGTTTGGAAGAGATCAAGATCTTCAGGTGGATATGGCCTACTTTTAAGATTTTAAGCAGTCCTTGGGGTTCTATTTTTCTTGCAGTTCCACAGATCTTCTCACCACTTTTGATGTGCAATGCTTACTAGGAATATCTCCTTTCTGTTTTCTTATCTTTGTTTTTTAGGCTCTATCCTTTTTCTTCTTTGAAAACAGCTTTCTATTGGGCCATCTTCCTCATGCTTTGAGAGTTTTTAAGGGTTTTCTTTCTACACTACTGCGGGGTAATAAGACATAGTCTCATAGTTGTCATGCTTGGTATTTGTAAAAGCAGCCACTCTGCTCTCTTTATCAGTTCTGTCTTCTTGCATCATGGTTGCATCTTGAATTTTGCTGTTTGTTTACAAGTGCCAGAATCTGGTTTTTCATAAAAATTGGTAAGCAAAACAAGCCTCACAGAGTGTAATGTAAAATTTATTTGTAGGTGAATGAATTAGGGGTGGACATATTGGATTGTCAATGCCAATTATGCCGCTAAATTCCTTGAAATTCTGAATTATGGTCCCCTTAAAACTTGCGTTATCATCTGACTCTGTCTTATTTAAGTATCTGGATTTAGGTAAAATTACTTCTTCTGACCTTATAAGCGTGCTTCAAAATGTTACTTCTGGCTTGCTCGTCTGAGCATATAAAGGAGAGGCGGGGGGAAGGGGGAACTGTACAAAATTCCAGAGAATATTATCTCTTTGCTATCTGTTTAGGTGGTTTTTGTCTCTAGTATTGAAGCCCCAGCTTGTGTTAATCTTTCAGATGTTTCTAAAGCTTTGCCTGAGAAACACCCAGAATAAAAGTCATCTAGCTCACTGTTTTATTCATTGATTCTATGTTTGATTGTTGGTAAACATAACAGTACGAGTACATGGTGTTGCTGGACTTGATTAAGAAAGGTCATCCTGAGCCTGCCAGAAAGATTGGCAAAGGTATCCAAGCATTCCAAGTTCGATTTCATCCATTGTTCAAAAGTAGATGCTTCTTTGTTGTTAGAGAAGACGAAAGTGTGGACGATTTTAGCTTCAGGAAATGCGTGGCACCAAATACTTTGCTTCACCAGCACGATATGAAGATGAAGTCTGATAACAACAGGACAAAGAATGGTGGCGGGGGTAAGGGTCGTGGGGGGAAATTCGGTGGTGGCAAAGGTGGGCATGGCCGTGGAAGAGGTGGTAAATCCAGACATTAATGCAGTGGAAGAAGGTGGTCGATATGGAGTATATGGATGATATGTGGAAGCAGTATTTTAGTTTTCTAATCATTTAAATGAATCTTCTATCCAGGTAAAACTGATGAACCATTAAGATTTTGTCTTGGATGCAATTTGCATAATGTTCGTTATGATTTTGTGGTCAACCCCTATCATTAAACTATATGAAGTATCTTTATATACAGAAAAAGTATATATATATTATATTTTATTTGGTAAAACGTAATTTTCAAATCAATGTATTATGGAGTCTCACTTTTTAACCCAACCAAATTAATTCGGGTTCAGTTATGGTTTTTAACCCAAATTAAATTAAAGAATTTATTACTTTTTTTACTCCACAATTTGAAAAATGAAGTAAAAAAATTTTAAATAGAAAAGCTTATGTAATAATTTTTTTAAATGATTCGCAGAACCAAATTACATAAAAAATGTGACTGTAATCAATTCTTTTCACATACGTATTATTTATTAATATGTAAACTTGTAAGTACGTTATATGTTATATAATCTTTTTTATGAAA